CATAATCCCTCTATTCCATATTTATTTATTAGACTTCTACCCCACCCATCTAGAGAAAAGATCTGCTCTTAAATATTTAATAGATATTTTGCACCTATTTGAAGCGAGTGAATCTTAATGTACACTTTCCAAATGTGCACAGCTTTCCCAAGTATGTCCTTCTGTAAAGGTGTGGATTTTGGATTGCAAACCAAGTTCAGCTTGCAGGCAGCACAGGAAGTACAGACTAGGACAGTCTATAGAAAATCCACATAAATATCCCTATCTGGTCGGGTCAGGACCACTCTGGGTGGCACAGGAAGTACAGACTGGGACAGTTTATAGAAAATCCACATACATATATTGCAATCTTAGAATCTTTCTGCCACCTTGGCCAATAAAACTTGTTATATATTGCAATCTTAGAATCTTTCTGCCACCTTGGCCAGTTGCGTACTACACGCAATAAAACTTGTCAAGTCTGATCTACGCTGCTCATTTTGGAATGGGCTAGTGTGGGCTAAATAGAGTTGCTTCGGGTCAGAGGTGAGATATCCCATTAGGTGCAATCCTCTCCTCTAAATGGCATATCAGAGCTCAAGCAACTCCATTTGGTTCAATCTTAGAATCTTTCTGCCACCTTGGCCAGTTGCGTACTACACGCAATAAAACTTGTCAAGTCTGATCTACGCTGCTCATTTTGGAATGGGCTAGTGTGGGCTAAATAGAGTTGCTTCGGGTCAGAGGTGAGATATCCCATTAGGTGCAATCCTCTCCTCTAAATGGCATATCAGAGCTCAAGCAACTCCATTTGGTTCAGCTCCTTCTGTTCTCAATTTCCAATATCGTGCAGTGGCTTAATATGTGAGCCACTTCAGGATATCAGCATACTGAACATTTCCTCTGATCCTTGGCCGAGGAGCAGGGGAAGTGAAATTATTTTATCAGATTGAGATATACCATTGCTGATGTGTAGCATCAATACAATACAATAAGTTTATTTACGGTCCTTACACCAGTCACATAAGTATAAAACCTTATAAAACCTTAAAATTTCTAACTTTCAGAACCTCGTAACCTAACAGGTGATCTGCACATCAACATCTGAGAGAAAGAACTCAAGCCTATTTCCCTCCGAACGTCCTGGGAATCTATCTGTTAAGGGGATTATAGTCTCTTTTCGCACTGCTTCATACAATGGGCAGGTGAAGAACATGTGCTGTATGGTCTCGATCTCCCTCAGGTGGCAGGAGCATAACTTTTCAGCAAAACGGGTATTTTTATACTTCCCTTCTAGTACAGCAGAGGGGAGGGCCAAACACCTTGCCAAAGTAAAGGCTCTTCTAGTTCCTTTAATTCCCAAAGACCGGTTCTATACAGTTTTTAATGTAAGTCCTTGCTGCCATGTTTTGAATGCTAGAGAGGTCTGTTTGATATTCATTGTCCTCTATCCTTTGTTTAACTATTTGTTTTGCCTGCTCTATTCCAGAAAATATAAGTGCCTGAGGTGAGAGGCCAATTTTCCCCAAGTAGCCGTGGACCAATTTAACCCACTTAGATTGATTGTTATCATTAAATATTGAGGAAAATAAGCCTTTTGGGTATAACTGTCCCTTTAGCCACACGTATATAGACTGAATCCTAATCCAGGCTTCTACTTTAAGGCATCCTGTTTCTAGCCTTATCCTTGCATTCGACACGCATCTTGGGGCCTGGAGTATAGTTCTTAGAAATTTGGATTGAACTATTTCTTGTGATGCAAAGTGAGAGCTGGGTGGGCCCATGAATGAATTTTATCCGATTGAGGTATACCATTGCTGATGTGCAGCATCATATACAAAGATTTTCTTTTTCTTTGCCTTGTCTGAAGGCTCCACTGAAAAACTGCCTGCTTGTGGGTTTGGCTGTGGGCAGTTTCTCAACAAGTGTTGTAAAAATATTTTTATTTCTTTTTGTTTATTATTTTTCTTTTTTTTTTTATTTCATTATAAGTGATGTAGTGCATCAGCAGTCTCACAAAGAGAGTATGGCTCAATAAGAAGCTGACGACACATACGAAGATCCAGGTCTATAGAGCCTGTGTCCTAAGCACACTCCTGTACTGCAGTGAGTCCTGGACCCTTTGTGCACGGCAGGAGAGGAAGCTAAACACCTTCCATATGCGTTGTCTCCGATGGATTTTTGTTATCACCTGGCAGGACAAAGTTCCAAACAGAGTAGTCCTAGAACGAGCTGGAATTTTCAGCATGAACACATTACTGAAACAGCGACGCCTACGTTGGCTTGGGCACGTCGTGAGAATGGCTGATGGTCGGATTCCAAAGGATCTCCTGTATGGAGAATTAGTGCAGGGAAACCGTCCCAGAGGGAGACCACAGCTGCGATACAAGGATATCTGCAAGCGAGATCTGAAGGCCTTAGGAATGGACCTCAACAGATGGGAAACCCTGACATCTGAGTGTTCAGCCTGGAGGCAGGCATTGCATCACGGCCTCTCCCAATTTGAAGAGACCCTTGCCCAGCAGGCTGAGGCAAAGAGGAAGTCACAAAAGCAGCAAAACCAGGGAGCTGGACAGGGGACAAACTGGATTTGTCTTCAGTGTGGAAGAGACTGTCACTCTTGAATCGGCCTCCTCAGCCACACTAGACGCTGCTCCAAGTCCTCCATACAGAGCACGATACCATAGTCTTTCGAGACTGAAGGATGCCTAACTAGCATCAGCAGTGGTATACCAGAGCCAAGAGACTCAGCTGAAGCCCATGGAGTTATTACCAAGGAACCCCTCATCCGCTTCTGCCAGAGAGGGACGACAGGCAGGATGAAGATTCATAAAAGGACCCAAGGAGGTTTACATCATTAAAGGAGAGAGATAAAAGCAATACATTATTCAAATATTTTAAAAGAATTAAACATACATTATATTAAAAATGTCAAATAAAAGTATTATTAAACATATTAAACCAACCAAATACTAGTCATCCCATTTTAAAAACCCTACTCAGTCAGCCAGTTATTGAGGGAAAATCTGCCTGAAGAGACAAATCTTTGTCTGCTTGCAAATGGACAGCAAAGATGGAGCCATTCTGGCCTCCTGTGGGAGGAAGTTCCAAAGTCTGGGAGCAACAACAGAGAAGGCCCTCTTCTGTGTCCCCACCAAATGCATCTGTGGGGGTGGGGGTGGGGGTGGGACTGAGAGAAAGGCCTCATCTGATGATTTTAACACCTCTGCTGGCTCATAAAGGCAGATACGGTCTTAAGGATACTGTAGCTTGTACCCCAAGCTAGTTAGGACTTTATATGTTAAAACTAGCACTCTGAATTCTGCCCAGAAACAGATTGGCAGCTGGTGGGGGGGCTGCTGTAAGGGTTGAGTGGGTTGGGTTATGTGATCCCTGCAGCTTTTTGGACCCGCTAAAGTTTCTGAACAATTGCCAAAGGCGTAGAGTGTGTTAGAGTAGTCCAGCTATTGTATTTCTGTTGTTTTTAATGTATGTTTAATACTGCTTTTATTTAAAAGATTGAATATGATATTTAATTATTTTTAAATATTGTAATAATTTATTGCTTTAGCTTTCCAGTATTGTTTCTTTTAAAATTGCAAGTTGTCTTGGATCCTTTTAGGAGAAAGATTTTTAACAATATTAAACAGACAAATAAATATATTGAAATGAATTAATTAATTACAAGTAACTTCTCAACTTGTTTAACAGATTCCCTAAGATCCATGTGTAACTAGTGCTGACATAACCCAGGTCCTCTCCCAAGTGGGAACGAGGGTGTCAGAAGGAAACTCGTAATGCCAAGAAGCGTGTTTTGCACAAGAGGTGAACGGACTTCTCCTTAGCTTGTGAGATTTACTTTAATGTGAAAGATGTAGATGTGACTAGATAGGTGGGATATAAATAAAATAAATAAATAAATAATGATAATAACCTCAACATCCCATAGTGGGAAGCAGGAGCAAAATTATGGCCAGGGAGGATGATGACAGTTCAGGGGGTGGAGCCAATCTTTAACAAAGCCCCATAAACCAAATATCAAGCCTACACAGGCAAGTAGACCCCCTTTACTCCAACACTTGGATTCTGACCCAAAACAAGAAAGCTGGATAATATTGCTACTAAAACCTTGGTTGATGGCAGCTACTTTGTGCTCAGATTTTAAATTAAGGCTGAGAAATAAATTATTAACACCAAGAGAGTTGTGGCAGAATCTTCTTCTTCATCTTCATTATTATCATAATCTGATTCTACTCTCAATCAATATAGTTTCGCGAATCAAAGCCTTTGCTATCTACTCAATGAAAAATGAATCTCAGTCCAAAGCACGGCAGTCAGAGCACTGATGGGACCCAGGTAACTTGTAATGTGTCACTGCGTGAGGTGGGCTGTAACTGGTCTGCGCCACATTATACTTTAGTTTAGAGCTGCTGCGTCTAAGATCAGAATAGCTACGATAGTGTCCGATGATCACAAGAAAAAGAAATTGCGTGACTATAAGCCGTTTAGGGCTAAAATGAGAGACGCCTGATTTCCAGGTGCCTGTCTGAAGTCCCATAAGAGCTTGGAGGATTACATTTTTAAAAGGAACTCATTGAACTGCTTATTTCAGCAGCCAGCTTGCCATTATCGTGATCATGGCTCCAATCATGCTGGTCATTTCCTGCATTGTGTTTTATTAATGGATTATGGTGTTATCGCCAAAAAATAGAGATGGGAGCTTCGTATTCGTCTCCCGGGGGAGAGCCTGCCACCCCAGGTGGCCTGTCTGATTGGACCCATTGCACTTCCGAACTGGATGTCCGCTTACTCCTTGCAGTGCAGCCTGCACGGCCACTGTCCTTCATGCTACGCCAATGGTGGAAGTAGCCTGGCTGGGGCTTCCCCGCCTCCCTGCACTGTTCACCAAGCCAGCAAGAGAGGGGAATGACAAACCTCTCCACTCAGCTGATGATTGGTCAGCAGTGCAGGAAGGCGGGGAAATTCCAGCAGAGCTACTTCCACAATTGGCACAGTGCAAAGAAGGATGACCCAGTGCACCATGCTGCAAGGGGTAAGTAGACACCTGGTTTGGGGAGGGAGGGTCCAATCAGATTGGCCACCTGTGGTGACAAGCTTCATATTCATCTCCCCGGGAGATGAATACAAAGCTCCCATCTCTTGTCACAAAATACCCTTTGGTTCCCTCTAACAATCAGTTATAACACTTCACATTGCAAATACTTGAAAAAGAAGAAATGATAGATGACTTCTCTTGCCTTAATATGTTGCATTGTGCTGTTGTAACACTTTTAAGTTATATGGGGCTTTGCCTATTATTGATGAATCTTGCAAACACAGGTTCACAAAATGAGTCTCTGCTTATTTGCATATATATAACAGACAAAATGAGCAATTATAACAAGAAAATGCTACAACTTATGGGCTCAGGTTCTTGGCAACACCAACAATGCAGAAGTTGCTTGCTGAATTTGCAAAGTTAATGTGTCCCTTTGATTTCCAAGTCAGACAAAATTCCAACATATTTTCCTCAACGGGGTTGGGTATCCATAGCACAGATGAATCTTCAAAACCGTAAAATAAAATATCAATACAATTGTATGCAATTCATGAATTCACTATGTTGATTCACCCCTCCAACAAAAACAGTGTTAATTGGAAGGCTGTAACATTTGTGCCTTATCTCTGTGAGAATGGCCACTCTGTGGCCACAGTTTGCTCCTTAGTATATGGTCAAAACTGGTTTCAAGAGAAATGAAGGGAGAAAAGTAGAGAAGTTACTTTCTCTTGTAGATGTTTCAGGGCAATACAATGGCCAATTAGCTGAACTCCTCAAAGGGTCTAGAAAATGGCATGTTGGGTATAAAAGGGGGAATTTAAAGTTATTTAGTTTAGCTTAATTACCTTGTAGGAGAACCCTATGCTCATCTGCTGCCTGACTTGCCTCTGCATGTGCTTTGGAGCTGCCAGAAGGTGAGTATTAGCTTAGGATAGCCAACTTCCTTCTTTTCTTATGGGACTGTTCTGAAACTGGTGCTGTCTCAACAAGTTTTTAAAATACTTATTTGCTCCACAAACTTTTGGCTGTTTCTGTAAATTTTAGAGCAACTTTTTAAGAGTAAAGAAAGTTGTTGGTACTCAAAACCAGGTCTTGCAATCATCTACCAGGAGCCAGTGTGTTTTGTGGGTATTTTTGGTATTCCTACCTTTCAAGGTTGGCGTGAGAGCCAAAGTGCTTAACCTTATGGATTTTTAGTAACTCCATGGAACACTGCTTAGTCTGAGTCTCTTAAGATGTTGGGAGGATAGCAGACATGAAGACTTTCCCCAGCCATCAATACATTCAGCCCTTCCGGCATTTACCCACACCAGGGAAGTCTGGGCAGTATAGTTCAGTGATTTGACCTGGCATAAACGTGACACCCATACTTTCTCATAACCAGTCTGGACATGAGGCACAGATTATGACTTTATTTGGGATTTGGTACAAAGAGCACCAACTGTTCCCAGGATGCATCTCCAGAAATAAGTTGATGCTTATTTAGATTTTTGTTTCGTTTTACATGAAACTTGGCCATTAACTGGAACAAAACCACAACACAATAATTATAACAAAGAATATTAAAATGCCAAAAGATAGCAGATCTGAAGTAATTACTCCCACAGCTACCTTAACTTCAGCCAATTGCAAATCCTTATCGTTGCAGATTTAACAGCATGAGATGTTTGGCTGGAGTTTGTTGTGGACTATCCAAAGGGACTCAGTCAGAAGCTCTGAAATTTCTTAATAAGCCCACCTGTGGAAGGGGAAGACAGAATCTCTCAGCCATGTCTCCTTTGCTGCTCTTAATTGAATCAGCTATTGCCATTGGGGTTGGAGAAGGAACAGTAGGGGGGATGAACAGATGGGTATTCTTTGTTCCCCCAAATTTCTGCCGTGTTTCTTAGTATACTTTCAATATCTATTCCATCAGCAAGATGATGGTACATTTTTGGTACCGTGCCAAAATCTGTTGGTACATTTTGTTCAGCCAGCAGGGCTTGTGGTTTTTATAGCAATTCAATTCACAGTATATTGTCTTGCTTCTGACCTGGGCGAACATTTGCCTTCAGAAAAGCTGTGGAGGAAGGGGGGGCATGTCCAGATGACATCTTTGTTGGTGTGTGCAGAGTGAGGCGTCATGTGGGGATGAGCCCTACTTTTTTTTTTGGCCTGCCTCCTTCTCACGCGGGTAAGGGCTTTCACAGCAAATGGTATTTCAAATATTTAAAAGCATCTCAAAAATATTTTAAACAGATGCAACACTGATTCAGATGCTTATCATGTTTTGTTGGTTTTTCGTTTCGTTTAGTCGTTTAGTTGTGTCCGACTCTTCATGACCCCATGGACCAGAGCACGCCAGGCCCTCCTATCTTCCACTGCCTCCCGGAGTTGTGTCAAATTCATGTTGGTTACTTCGCAGACACTGTCCAGCCATCTCATCCTCGGTCGTCCCCTTCTCCTCTTGCCTCCTCTTGTTGGTTTAGGGCTTTTTAACTTGCTAAACAGGATAAACAAAAATAATGGATTTGAACCGGAGTAGAAGGAGGTAGGGATAAGAGGATGGTGATCAGGGCAGAAAAGGGTGTGAAAGAAGGAAGGGGTGGTTATGTGACGTGTGGGCACTTGGACACACCTTCCTGGGATAATCAAACATTTTTGTGTGAACTACAGCAGTGACCGAAATGCCTGGGTGTGGTATAGAAATGCTTGCACCAACTCAGAAAAAACTTCTGTGTGGTCAAACCCTAAGAAAATAAGGCTCGTGCCAAAAAAAGTCTTGCCTCTAAAAGGAGAGGCCTATCCACACAGTTAATGACCCACATTAGATCAGTCTCTGCCTCCACTTATCCAATAGCTCTCAATGAAAAATCCGACTATCATGTCCCCCTCCATTCCAGCTGCTGATGCTAATGGAACTGTCTAGGTTTCTGCTGTAATCCAGTGCATAGTCGCCTTGCAGTATTTTACATTACAGTGGTGCCTCGCTAGACGATGATAATCCACTCTACTGAAATTGCTGTTTAGCAAAATAATTGTCTAGCGAAAAACATTTCCCTATTGGAATGTATTGAAACCTGTTTAATGCGTTCCAATGGGGAAGAATTGTCGTTGTCTAGTGAAGATCAGCCATAGGAAAGCCGCTTTGCGAACCACCGATCAGCTGTTTAAATAGCTGTCTTGCGAAGCTTAGGCCCCAAAAACCCCTGTTTTGCAAGCGCAGAGGGAGCTGCCAAAATCGTTGTCTAGCAAAAATTGGTTTGCAGAGCAGGGACCAAACATTGTGCAGCGAAATTCGCCCATAGGAATCACTGTTTTGCGAATCGCTATAGCGATCGCAAAAAGTCAATGTCTAGCGAAAAAACTGTCATGTGGGGTAACTGTCTAGTGAGGCACCACTGTATTTATTACTTCTCCATGCTGCCTTGGAGAAAAGAGCATGGCTCTCTTGCGTTAGCTTCACAACAACCCTGTGAGGCATGTAAGGCTGAGAAAGAGTTTCTGTCTGGCCAAGGTCACCCAGTGAGTTTCATGAGTCACTGGGTCTTAGGCTAGGATCAACCAAGACTCAGATCAACACTCTTAAATGCTGGACTTTACTGGCCGGGTTCAAGTACAAGTGTCTGGAAAAACAACCAGTTTTCAAGGCAGGAATGAGGAAACAAGCTGTCAAGCATTTCTGGAAGAGATTTATGGGAGGATAGTAAGAGGGCAGGCGGATGCAGAGTCAAACAGTAAAATCACCCTTCACATGAGTTAGATGTCATTGTTTTACTGAAAGTTCACCGGTGGGATCTGTAGCTTGATGTCAAGATCGCTGGAGAGTTCTGGCCAGCCACCCCTCTTCTCAATTTCACTTTCCTGCTCCGTGCTTTTCTAGACCCCTCCCCACTGCCAGCAGTAAGTCAGCTTTCCATGGACACTATGCTCAGTCTTCATGGAGGAAGCAGAAAGGGAGGCTGCTCCCTGGTGTTTCTTCTAAACTTTTTTTTTTAGTTTTTAAAACCATAGGATTTTCCTGAATGTTGGAGGAGCTGTTCTGCCAGGCTCTGTAAGGGTTGCCAGTTCAAGAAATGGTTTACTGAATATTATATAGGATTTAAGTCCTTCGGTCCACAAGGTTGCCAGTATCTTGTGGTCAAAGGCAGGGCTGGCTCTGTCATTGGGCAAAGTGGGATGGGTAGCCCAAGATAACAGATACTGGGGGTCGGGAATCCCCAACAAATACTGGATGAACTTATGTGAGATACACAGCCTGCTTTACACCCTTTAAGCTAGCCTGCTGTCTAGAATCTATTGCCAATTATGAAGGCAGATTCAGATGCTCACTAAAGATATACAGACTGGCTTTTTTTGGACTACAAGACCACAGATGTGCACACTTTTAACGCTAGCCCAGTTGGGTTTTGCACTTGGAATGGGGGTGGGAATTGCCATCCTGTCTTATGCCTCAGGCAGCAAAGTGCAATGGGCCAGCCCTGGCCAAAGGCTTCCATGGATTAGTAGTTAGAAAGCACAGAGAACTTAGCAAAGTTCTTCCTCAAATGGAACGGAAAATGTTAATATTGGGTCCTCCTAACAGTCTGTGTAATTATTCATTCCAACTCTTAACCACATGTTTTAAGACCCAGGAATTCTGCCAGAAGAAAAACTGGCAACCCTAGGAAAATGGGAATTGTAAGAGATTAAACTATTTCCACCTCCATGTAGGGGAAGCTTCCTGCTGCAGTATATTGGTCCTTCATGCAGATGCTACAATGACCCTTCCATAGCCCTTCTAGAGAAATTAGCTCATGAGATAAAGCAGGGGTCGGCAAAGTGCCACTCACCAGATGTGGGTAGACAGCAGTGCCTATCAGCCGTAGCCAGCAAAGCCAATGATAACAAATGCTGGAGGTTGCACTCCAACCACATCTAGTGGGAAACACTTTGCCCCCCTCTCCACATGGATGAAAAAACTGTAAGTCCTAAAACTAATCTCTTCAGCAGTGTCCTTAACAGCATACAAATCACCCCACAGTAGAAAGGGATTGGAAGGGAAAGCTAGAAAGGGAAAACTCTTATTATTCCTGCACAAGAGTGCAGCCATAGATATTGTGCAACACAGCTAATCAGTATTTCATAAGGCAACTCAAAAAATGGGATGCCTCAAATAAAAGATTATAACTTTAAAATTCCAGCACCAAATTTGGCACAAATGTAGGAGACAGTCCTTGCTCTGTGCCAAATTGGGGACATTTGGGCAAGTGGTTGTTGAAACACAGTCCAGAGAACTGCTTTGTGTTTGGGTGTACTCTGCTGGTTCTCCTTGATCTCTGACTGGCTATTGATACTGGTGACCATGGTGTCCTCTTGGACAGGCTCTCAGAGACTAGGATTGGAGGTTTAGAATTGCGCCAGTTCTAATCTTTCCTTGAGGACTGGGTCCAGAGAGTGTAGCTTGGGGATGATGTATTGACCCCTTGGACCCTCACCTGTGGGGTTCCTCATGGATCATCAACATTTCCAATGCTGTTCAACATCTATGTGAATTCACTGGGGGGGGTCAGCAGGAGATTTGGAGAGAGATGTCATCAGTACACTGATGATGCCCAGGTCTATCTCTCCTGTTTACTACCCCTGTAATGGATGCCATCCAGACACTTGAACATTGCCTGGCTTTGGTTCTGGAATGGACCAGGCTCAAACTGAATCCAGACAAGCCATAGGCTGCGTTCCTGGAGAGGTCCATCAATACATTGGGGATGGTGGCATTGCCCTCCTGCTTAGGGACCAAGTTCAGAAATTTGGGTGTGCTTCTAGTCACAGCTCTTTCTTGGGATGCCCAGATTATAGCCATGTCCAGGCCAGTCTTTAACCAGCTGAATGCCCACCTCCACCCCTACCTGGACAACAGCTCCCTCAGGATGCTGGTGTAGGCACTGGTCATTTCCCAAATTGACTGCTACAGTGTTCTCTATGTGGGGCTTCCTATGAGTCTGGTCCGAAGAGTCTCCAGCGAGTCCAGAATGCAGAGGCCAGACTGGTGGTTGCGGTGAGCAGATATGATTGCATCAGGCCAGTTCTGGCTCACCTCCACTGGTTACCTGTGGACTCCTGGAACAGGTTCATGATTTTGATTCTCATGCACAAAGGCCTTTGTGGTTTGGCCCATGTTACTTGCCAGAGCGTCTTGCCCCAATGGAGCTTGAGGGGTGAGAAAGTACCCAGTTTTCCCCCAGATCAGTGGTTCCCAACTGTAGGTAACCCTGGTGTTTTTGGACTGCAATTCCAAGAAGCCTTCACCACCAGCTGTGCTGGCTGGGGTTTCTGGGAGTTGCAGTCCAAGAACACCAGGGTTACCCAAGACTGCGAACCACTGTCCCACATGCTTTCCACATTCTTAATCATATGTTACAGTGAACAGCCAAGCTTTGAGGCAGTTTTTTAAAAAGCAGAATGTGTTATTTGATTCAAATTTCCTTTCTCTCTGGGTACTGGCCGTGCTGGCTGAGGCAGATGGGAACTGGAGACCGCCACACATGTTGTGGGTCTGGAGACCCACAACATGTGTGGCTCTGGACCTCGCATGTCCCAGAAAGCCGCTAGAAAGAGGGAGTGGTAAACCAATTCAGAGAACTGTATTCCTAAAAAAACCCAGGTGAATCATCATAAATTGGAATTGAATTGATAGCACTTTATTGTTATTGCTTTCTTCTAAATTTAATCTCTTGTCTCTAGGCATGGGGAATTGATTTTTCCCAGAGAAATGTCTTCTTGTGAACTAGAAATATATTTCTGAGTTTTAGTTTTCAATGAGCAATTAAGATCTATCCCCTGTATGAAAGACCTTCTCCTGATGTGAAGCAAAAGCACTAAAACTCGCCTGCTGTTGTGCATCAACACAGCTTCCTACATGTCTGGGAATCTGCTTCACGGTGTGGCTGTCCTCACATGCAGCTAAATGTCAATATTTGCCCCTCAGTCATGGTGCATAATGATAAACCATATGAGGAAATAGAGAGGTCTGTATTATATCTGCACAGTAGCGTGCATCTGCTATGTTATGGGTTTTCCTAATAGACCCACCTAATTATACAGTACCACCATTGTTAATAGTAGAGGATTTTCTTGAAGGTGTGTACATGATGCAACACATGATGAAAAAACCATAGCAGAAGAGTGATTGTTTTTTTTTTAAAGCATTGTAATTTCCTAGCGATGTTGCTTTATACCTAGCCAGGTGGAATAATAACAGAGAATAAATGAGTTCTGGTCTAGTCAGTCACATTCTATTAGTTATTTCTCACTGTTTCAAAAAGTACAGAGTAATCAATTAAAAAAAAAAATCAGGAGAAAAAATTACTTTGTGCAGAACCCACTGATTCTAAAAGGGTTTCTTTTGCAGCTGCAGTATTTGAGTTTAGAAAATTGACAGAGCTCTGAAGAATTCTGTGATTTTAAGCAGAAAGGTGAGGTAAAAATATTTTAAATAAATTAATGAATGTTTGTCTTGACATATCTTCTGTGTCACAAAGCATGAATATTACATTACCAGATAGCAAACTGAGAGACAGCTGAATTTACCAAAATGGTTTGTTCTTTGTCTATCTGTGGTCACCATAGCTACAATTTCTATCTGCTAACATGTACTGTATTATTTTGTTCTTAAACTCTTTTACAGTATACCCCAGTGCTGTCAAGAATTTTCTTTGAAGAAATCTGATATATTTCTTCATATCTTGTCGCTGTTCAAGTAAGCTACCCACCAATGCCTATTACATGATTATATATTCCAAAGGTGAAACTTGTAAATATCTAGAAATGGAGATAAGAAAAACTGAGATATGTATGATAATCCATATAAATGGCATTGGAACTTATCCATCTTTTTTTCATATTATTTCTATGTATGTATATCTTTTAAGGGCATCTTTTTATTGATAATAACAATATTTAGTAAGTACACAGGTATTCTCAAGCTTGCATGTCCTACCAGATGCTGTGCAATGGTAAATTTGTACACAGAAGGTGCCTGCGGGTGTATATTCTAAATACTGTATAAAGACTGCAGGAGAAAAACAAGGGAGGGGCAGAAAGAGGAGGAAGAAGATCAGTCAAGATGTTGAAAACTCAAGTTTAACAAGAAATCTTAAATGTCATTGTGAGACCGAGGGTGAGAAACCAGCTATTTTCGCTGGAGTGCCGTGATTGTGAGACCGAGGGTGAGAAACCAGCTACAGTATTTTCGCTGGAGTGCCGTCCCGTCCTCTCCCTATAGAGAAAGGGGTGCAGACCTTGCCCGTTTCCCAACCCCAAAAGATTGAGACTCCGGGAAAGGACCCCATGTGTGTGGAGAAAGAACTATAAGACTTGACAGTTAAAGAAACCAGGAAAATGTTGGCGGGAAAAGAGCAGAAACCCCAGGTGGAGGCGAAGGCAGGGTTTGCAGATATAACTGCCTCCAGGTTGGGAATGGATCTGGGTGCAAGATCCAAGGACTGAGAAAAGGCTCCATATACCTAAGGAAGAGGCGGACTATAGGAGAAGAAGGGAAGTGACCCCAAGACCCTCTTATTGGCATGAAATAGAGGCGAAGGAGTGGAGGAGGAAATTAAGGGAAGAAAAGGAACGGGTCAAAAGGAAAACGCGGGAAAGGATTGAATGGAGGAGGATGGAGACCCAGATGATGGGATACCCTTCGGACCATGGCCGACCCTTACGACCTCCAAGGAACCCGCCTGGGTGGACCCCAGAGACGAGGACACCGTACCCCTATTGGAAGGGGAACCCGCACCGGTATTGAATTCTAACTTGTCGGTGGACCGGCCAGGACCTTGGAACCCTGTTGGGGGAAACCCCTTTAAAGAAGATGAATGGAAGCCCCTTTCTGACCCGTTGTTAGAAGTTGATAAGAGTTGGGATGCGTTTGCCGATACTGGTTTTCTGTTAAACACTGCAATGAACTCCAGTTTCTGAACTTCGTAAGTCTGCTTTGGGGAAAAAGAGGAGCTCCATTTAGAACCCTCACAGTCATTGACACATACTGCTAATTTATTTGGGGAAAAAGAGGAGCCCCATTTAGAACCCTCACAGTCCATTGACACATGGTAATTGTATTCCTAGGAAAAGGCTATAGGTCTGTGGTAGAGAGTACAGTATGAGTTTTGTATGCAGAAAGTCCTCGATTTTTAAAAAAGATCACGCAGCTCAAGGACAGAGTACAGTCTACGCTTGGTCAGCAGTAGCTGGGCATCTAAGCTCCCCCACAGACTGAGACTCGCTGCTCCATGTTGGCTCCTGATGAGGCAGAAGATAAAGACAGATGACAATAACAAAGGCCAAAGTGGGTACACATGGGGAAGTCTTGCTGTCATTCATACGCAAAACATACACAGAGGCAAGCTGGTGCACTCACAGAAACCATCTACGTCCGGTCAGGAGATAGGCAGAAATAGGCTGGACGAGGGCCTCCTCAGTGCCCCTCTAGCACCGCAGCTGCCACTTTATTTGATGACCCCGTTCCCTGCCCTTCACCCATGGTCTCATTGCGGGAGTGAGTTTTGTGGAGAGCAATGCCAGCTATACAAGGCCTTTGGGCGGGGCCCCATTCTGAACTGGTTGGCAACCCCACTTGAAACGGCTGATTCTGGAGATCTGTGTGCGTATGTCTATGTCTCTGTTGAAAGCCAACCACTTCGGGTATAACGCTCGGAGAGACCTTCTGTGCAGGTCAGGGCTGAGGCCGCTGCCTCAAAAGCCTACCCACACGCTGTCAAGAGCAAGAGGGAGACAGAGGAGAGGCGATGGCTGTTCTGGAGCCCGAGGCTTTCCAGAATGGTGAGAGGAGACATCTAGATGGGCAGGAACACAAGATTGGCTCTTCCTGGCACTTTGCCACCTGGGTTCCGACTCCCAGATGGAGGGGAAGCTCGGTGCTTTCCTTATAGAAGGAAGCAGGTTGTCTTTTAGGCAGAAGATAATATGAAATTTTCTGCTTGAGATACACTTCGGTCATTGTAGATTATATTGGACCAGACAGACAAACACTCTGACCACAGCAAATCCAATTAAACAGTTCCTGTTGTCTATATATGAGAGGCTGGAACATATTTCAGTTCAGGAGAGGTCTTTCTCTCAGTCCCACCTTCACAGGTGTGTTTTGTGGGGAAACAGGAGAGGGCCTTCTCTGTGACTGCTTCCAGACTGTGGAACTCCCTCCCACAGGAGGCCAGGCTGGGCCCATCTTTGCTGTCCTTCCAAGCAAAGACGTTTCTCTTCAGGCTTTCTGAGGAGCTTTCCCACTGTGAGTACCTGCCTGATACATGGGGTTTTTTTAATGGATTTTTGTGACATTTCTTTGAATGTGTTTTTGGTGTTGCTTTCGTTTACTGTGTTTTAGTGCGGTATTTGTTTGATCCTTTTTATTTTTGTATACTTACTGTTTTTAACTTTAAAAATGGTCTTGTAATGATGTAAGCCACCTTGGGTCCTTTTAAAGGAGAAAAGTAGTGCAAATGTATGTATGTATGTATGTATGTATGTATGTATGTGTAGGTAGGTAGGTAGGTAGGTAGGTAGGTAGGTAGGTAGGTAGGTAGGTAGGTAGGTAGGTAGGTAGGTAGGTAGGTAGGTAGGTAGGTAGGTAGGTAGGTAGGTAGGTAGGTAGGTAGGTAGGTAGGTAGGTAGGTAGGTAGGTAGGTAGGTAGGTAGGTAGGTAGGTAGGTAGGTAGGTAGGTAGGTACTCTGCTGTAACATTTCAAAGCAGTGTAATTCCCACCATCCATATGACATTCCCTTATCTCAGTTAATCCAGTGCTTTTCCCCATGACTTCCAGCTCCTTTATGAGCCCTCTCTAAAAACATGGTTTATTTTCAGTATCAGGGCAAAATTTAGGTGATGCAAAGTTCCTGGTTGGAAGCTTTCAGTGAGTGCTCTGGAACAAAATACAACATAAACAAATTCAAGTAGAAATGCTCATTTATTGAAAATTCCTACAATATTTCTTCATGGTTTTTTTTAAAAAAACAAGAAATACTAATTTCCTAAAGAGACATGGATTTGCAGTATATGTCAATACTGAGGAGCTCTTGGTTGGAAGCTTTCAGTCAGTGCTCCAGCAACGTTCTAAAACAACAACAGTCCAGTAGAGAAATTCATTTGCTGAATATTTTAAAAGACTTTTAAAAGAGAAGCTTGTTTCTTAAAGAGGAGTAGATAGTTAAAGAGAAGTTTGGGCATAAATTCCCATAGAGCACACACTCACTCAGCATCAGATAGAAAAGTGGGGTGGAAGAAACACCCTTGAATCTATCAGTGCATGCTAATATTCCTGAAGAATGAAAATATGAATCAGAGTATTGTGGGCAAAGATCTGTGGGAATCAAGCAGTAATGGTTTCGCACTTAGTTAAACAACATGCATTCCCAATTTTCCACATTTCAAAATGCAATCATAAAGTGTGGGAAACAACATTTGAGCCTCATGTTCTGAGAACTGTGGAGGTTGGAAAGAAATTATATTTAGCAACTTCTGTCTTTGGTGTAATAACAGCAAGCCACTAATGAAATGTGGTCACTCCGCGGATTTTTTTTATTAAATACTGCTTTATTGCTTTGGGATTCTGGAATTGTTGATAACCCCTCAAAGAAAAATATTAATTATGGAATTTTGTAACCTGCTTCCTATACCACAGTTGAGCAGAAGGTAGATCCAGATCTATTGCTAGCTTTCTGGGTGATTTGCAACAAATAACTGGTATAGATTTTTCATTCTCAGTAGTTTTATAGTATCAGCAACTAAATGAGCTTCCTTATCAAATTCCAAGGAAATCTGAGGCCAAAGCAGAAGGGATGGGGAAACCAGGAGTGGATTTTTATACCAAAGGGTTTTTAGTTGGTTTCTGGCATCAGGAAAACAGATTTCCAGGGTTAGAATTCTTTGGACAAAATCCTTTTCATTCCTTGCACTTGATGACAACCATCTGTTGCATGAGTGTTTGAAATATTTAATTGCTTGCACAAGGAGCCTCGTGGTGCAGCGGTTAAACTGCTGTACTGCAGCCAAAACTGTGCTCATGACCCAGGGTTCGATCCCAGATAGCCCTCTCAAGGTTCGCTCAGCCTTCCATCCTTCTGTGGTTAGTAAAATGAGTACCCAGCTCGTGTATTATTAACTTGTAAACTTCCCAGAGTGTGCTTTAAGTGCTATGAGGCAGTATATAAGTGGAACACTTTGTTTTTTTGCTATTTAAAAAATCTAATTGCATAGATGGAAGCTTCATTGCTTCTCTGCTAGTGCTATGGTGAGCCACAGATGGTGCAGGAGTTTTGCCTGCTCGGAACAGGATGCTGCTTGCTTTCAACTTTGGTTCTTTTTCTCCCATGTGCTTCTAGCTCAAACATTCTTCATTTCGATTAGATCCTGGCCTTAAGTTTTACAGTATATGTCTTTTGAGTCTGTCTCTAGTTCAAGGGTTCACAGCTTTTAGCTCTAGCTCAAAGCTTTAATTCCTCTGGAGTTTGGGCTTTAATTCCTATGTTCCTTAACCACTGCCCATTCTGGGTGGGCCTTTCTGAAGGTTGAGACCCAAAACATCTGGAGAGTTAACCTACTGCTCTGGTAGGTCTTTCTCAGGTCTCCCATAGAAAACAAAGCAGATCTTGCAGGCTTAAAACCTGTCCAGCATCTTATGCAAGGCTCCAATAATTTGCAACAAGATGATTTGCAACAAACAAGACCTCTGTGATTAATGACAACGACAATGATAACAGCAGCAGCAACAGCAATACTTACCTGTATTATGTCATCAACATGCACGGTGCTTTCCATTATAACATAGCCTTCTCCCATCTCATACTCTTCAGATCTTTAGAACAACAACACCGATCATGCCCAGCTAGTGCTGCTACTGCTGTCTGGGGATGATGGAGGTTGAAGTCCAACACATTTGAAGGGCTGGGAAAGGCTATGGTAACATAAACAGAAGAGCCAGAATGGAATGCTCTGCACATCGAGTAACAGGATCCCAACTCTGGATCTTGGCATTAACTGTTTGCAACCTAAATTGAAACAGGAGGATGGAGAAGGGAACAATCAAACAGGACGAATGAAAATGCTGAGGGTATCTTTTTCATTTCCTCATTTTCAGGTTCTCTTTAGTTGTTCATGGAAAGTTTTTGAAAAAAAGCCAAAAATTGCTCCCATTCTCCCTTCTTTCTTTCTCTTTCCTTCTCTCTCTCTCTCTCTCTCTTTCTTGTTCTTTTTCTCTTTCATTTTCTCTCTCTCTCTCTCTCTCTTGTTCTTTTTCTCTTTCTTTCATTTTCTCTTTCTCTCTCTCTCTCTCTTTCTTTCTTCTTTCTCTCTCTCTCTTTGTCTTTCTTTCTCCCCTTTTTCTTTCATTCTCTCTCTCTTTTTCTTTCCCTTTCTCTCTCTCTCTGTCTCTTTCTTTCTTTCTTTCTTTCTGGCAGACAGACAGACAGACAGACCTAAGCAAAGTGTTATGCTAATATGCTGTACTACCCGATAGCACTTAAAGCACTCTCTGGGTGGTTTATAAGTTAATTATTCAGGCTACATTGACCCTCCCGAGCAAGCTGAGTATTGAATTTACCAACCTCAGAAGGACAGAAGGCTGAGTCAGCCTCTAGCAGGCTACCTAATCCATCAGGGTCACTTTGTGAGCAGAGTCTTTGCTGCAGTACTGCAATTTAACTACTTGTACTGCAAGTCTCCTGACAATCAAGAGAGGTTATGTTGGTGCAGTGGGAAAATACTTTTTTAAAAGATTTTCTTCTGATAAAATGCTTCCCAATATACTTGAAATGCTCCTGAAGAAGTGGACTTGCCCATGAAAACTCACTTTATAATATAGCACTTGGTCTCTAAGGTCTGCTAGCACAGACTAACAAGGCTACCTCTTCTAAAAATGCTTTCCTGTGTCACCTAAAATGATCGTGGTAGTTCCACATTATATTCCTGGTGTACTGAGGATTGCCGTCTTTTATAACCAACACTGTTCTTTTTTCTTTGGGCTATTTTCAGATTAGTGGCTCTTAGTGCTAATAACCATTCCTCTTGTGCTGTAAACTATAAGGCCTATACCTTATTGCTGGTTCTAGCTAGAGTAGACCCCTTGGTTTATATTGTCTTGCAATTCAACCATTGATTCAATAGTTTTATTTTAGCTGGGGCTATAGGACACTGCTCTAAGTGGAACTGGAACTCGTTTCCCACAGTATACAAAGCATTACATTTTCCCTGTATTCTCATTCTGTTAGACATAAAGAACTGAGCAGGCTTGGATCGAAAGTGATGCATAAAACTCAAAATTATAGCCTTCCTCTGTTCGGTTGCTGGTAAAAGGCACATGAGCAGCACTAGTAAAACCTGTGGCAATCCTATGTGGGAAGCTATTTGTAGAGCACTATACTTAGACACTGCATGTGTACTCTTCCATCTTCTTTACCTCGTTTAATTTTTGTGGGTGAGGAGCCATTTCAAGTGTATTGGTAATGCTCACTGAAGAGACAGGCTGCCAAATTCTGTGCAGAAGCTTGTGGGAGAAGGGAAATGCCAGAGGTCTCTCCCTCTCTGCAACCGGCGCCAGTTCTCAGCCTGAAAAAGATCTGTAAGTCTGAAAGCCTTTGCTGTGTAGAAACCGGAAGGAGATTTGTGCTAAGCGAAATACCAGACTCCTCCACCCCCACCCTTAATCAGGGTATGTTTGTGCATGGTCACCTTTGAAAACCGGGGGCGGGGGGAGGAGGGAAATTTAGGAAAACTCCTTAAGGCCTTCTGTCAGGAAGTTCCCTGCCCTCAGCTCCTCCACGGTGACCTGTGCTCAAAGTGAACCATATTCATCATTTTAATCTGTATTCTGTTTGTCTCCCTCATCTTCAATCCCCGCTGATGCAAATCCATGAAAGTGACGTTTCATGCTGCCTTCCTCAACTCAAGGATCCTGGACCCAATTTGGCTCCCATCATCCCCAGACCAGCACAGGTAAGGTTGATGGGAAATGTAGTCCAAAACATGGTGAGGACATCGGGTTGGAGAAAACTGTTTTGAAGGGTTGAAAATAGGTTTTGGACTTTATTTCTAGATGGTTTATAGGAAAACTCTGATTTCAAACCCCCACTGAGGCGCCGCCATCGTCCTCCATGCCGTGAGGGAACGGGCCGGGTAGGTGGGACTCATTCAGCCCTGGAAGGCAGCCCATCTAAGAGAAGGAAAAATCTGATTTCAAACCTCCACTGCCTTGTGGCTATATCCACTGATGGAAAAGGCTTCAGGAGTTAACCTCGAGGCAAAATCCAGAGCTGGAGTCCCGGAGGCAGTTCGTGTCATTCTGTCAACTCCTGCAACGTTGCTGAAACCAGTTGTATTGGCTCTTGCCTTTCCATTGGACTATTTCAGTGATGTGGAGAGAGGGGATTTACTGCTTTGGTAACAGCCTATCCTCCATATTATTTTACCCAGGCTTCGTGCTCTGTGAAAACACTAGACGCTGTTCCAAGTCCTCCATACAGAGCACGCTAACATAGTCTCTCGAGACTGAAGGATGCCTATGATGATGGTAGGCTGTGAGGAAAACCAGAAAATCAAACCTGTTTGGGAGACCTTAGAACTGAGGTTTTTAGCAACCTCTTGGATTTACCAAGGATGCTATGGCAATTTTATGGAAGAGCAGAGAAATGGCTGCTGATGGTTTTGTTGAGGATTAGAACTCTGGCGACAGTTAAGAGATAAATTTGTTAGATTTGCAGTTTATCTCAGCTCAGCTTTTTATTTTAAAGACTAAACTAGTTCACACTTTGTATGTTACATATACTTATGTAGCATAAGGCTCAGCGTCTGTGCAATGTAGGCTATAGATATACTTTCCCTTGCAGTGTTTTTCTTCACACCCAGGCCATCAGCTGCAATCCACTAAATGGCATCACATCCACGTCCCATCATATGATTAGGAAAACTCAAGGAGTTCTGCAGTACATGTGGTGGTTTTTTTAAAGTCAACAAGCAGATGAAACGGAAGCATACTTACAGAAGATTATGCCCCCGCATGCCAAAAGGAGACAATTTATATATATATATATATAAACAAACGCAACAGCTAAAACGCAACAGCTCACAGTGCAAAGGTGAGATTACTCATAAGACCAAAGTACAATGATGGGTAGCAGTTTGTTAAAGAAATACAGTTTCCATGGTATAATTGAAATATGTCACACCTCAGTGCCTTAGCAATTTGCTTGGATTAATAGGAAATATACGTACATTTCAAAATTGCTTGAAAATTTGAAATGTTCTCTGTTCATTATATTAAATACTCACCTGGCTCATTGTAGATGCTGCAGTGGCACCATGTGTCTCTTATTCATATATTCACGGTATTTCAATTTTTCTACGAATGTGCTAATATCTTTGTGCAAAAAATATTTAGCCTGAGGATCAACAGACTAGTAGGCTATGAGCAAGCACATCCCTAAGACCTTCAAGTGTCTCTTCCTTCCCTGCCCTGTCCAGTTTATTTATACAACCACACTTTGGATCAGGCAGTGCTTGGAATTGTTACTTTTTTGTCCTTTCAAAATCCTTTAGCTCAATATATCCATCCCTTAACTCTTCATAGGTTCTGCTGGTGGCCCAGACATAATCCAGAGGGTGGGGTTTTTTTTTGGTCATGATGGGGTGTCTGCCTGAGTCTCCATACGCTTATGGAGTAGGTGAAGCTGTTTGACACTGCTGTGTTGTAATATAATATTGTTAATGTGTCAAACCAGGTATGGAATGAGTATTTCTAAGAAGTTCATTTCTAAGAAGCTTATGTATATACTTATATGCCTACCTCATTATTATACTAAAACGTTCCCTAATGTACAGGTTTTGTATGTTTGTGCAAGTTTATATTCTTACAATTTATTATTGCAAAGAAAGAAAGAAAGAAAGAAAGAAAGAAAGAAAGAAAGAAAGAAAGAAAGAAAGAAAGAAAGAAAGAAAGAAAGAAAGAAAAGAAAGAAAGAAAGAAAGATTTTGAACATTAAAGTCTTCCTCTTCCATGTCCCAAGGCTTCTAAGGCTTTCTCCGGGTAAATGAGAGCCCTAGGAAGCCTCAGGACATGAAAGGGAGAGGGGGTTGGAAGCTTTCAATTTGTTTAAATTATTTCCAGCACTGGATCTGTTTTTGGTTGGCATAGCTTTATGTCAACAGGATTTTAGCCATTATTTTGCAAACTCACAGACAATTGCACATGCTTACATGCCTCCAGCTTGCACTCCAGATATGGAACAAAAGCTTTTACTTACAGCTGGGCTGTCAAATGCGACCACATTTGCTCTGATTTACAGCAGGCATTTCCTAAAATACAGTATTCACTCCATGAGGTGAAAAAAACAAATTGTCAGGGCAAGAAGGGGACCCAGGAACCAGCAATTACTGGGCAGACAGAAAAGAGAGAATGACAGCACATGTGACTGGTTATGTCATCTACAGCTCCCATCTTTGTTCTCCTTTTACTCTGGCAGCACTAGAAAGGTACTAATGATGTCACCAACAGCATTTGGGGCTCTTTTTCTTTTCATCTTCTAATATGTTGTACAATATCCTCGGCCAGTAATGCTCCTTTGCATTTTTACACATGGGAGAAACGACAGACTCTGAACAAAATAATAAATGGACACAAATCCAGTAATGACAATGAAAAGAAGCCTGTGCTATATAACTCGTCAGGAATACTCTGTTGCTAATCTCAAAGTGGTTATTGTAGGGAAAAAAAAAAAGAATTGCCAAGCAAGATTTGAGAGGAAACAGCTGAAGTGGGTTACGTTAAAAAATTCCAGTGTGCATTTACTGGATTAATTAAGGAATTTAGGGCTTTTAGCACTTTATGGCTGAAACTCTATTACTTTGTGTAGTATATTGTAACTAGAGAAAGCTCATCGAATCAATGAAATTTATGGAGGAGTTGACTAACCAAATCCCTACTGATTCAATGGGCCCACTCTCGTTGCAACATACTATGCTAAGCAACATCAACAACACCTTGAGAATTCAATAACTGTGTTAACAATTGTGCACCTTGGAAGCTCATAGTAAGGTGTTACTACTTTCCTACTGGTATTCCAATTTGCCTCAAGCCCCCCCCCCAGTTCTCCACACAGTGTGTTGTACACTGAATTATGTATTGTACACCTGTGGTCTAGACTTATGCCCAATGTCTCTAAAGAAGTAGAAACTTGGGTCCTAAAACTACAGTCAATTGCATCTTTCCATTCAGCTCAGACTGAAATAAATATTAGCCTTAAAGGTACTGCTGTACATTGTTATTGGCTCCCTCCCCTACATTGCTATACAATTCCATGGAAAATGAAGGGCAATCCATCGCACAACCCTGAACATACCTGATCTTGTCTGATTTGCACTCGTAATCTCAAGATTAGACCACTGCAACGCGCTCTACGTGGGGCTGCCTTTGAGGCTGCTGCGGAAATTACAGGTGGTGCAGAATGCCGCGGCCAGACTCCTCAGTGGTGTGAAAAAATACCAACACATTTCACCCACTCTGGCCGCGTTGCATTGGCTGCCCATCCGATTCCGCATCGACTTCAAAGTGTTGATGCTTACGTATAAAGCCCTAAACGGCTTAGGGCCTCGATACTTGGCGGAAAGCCTGCCTCCACCAAGTTCTACCTGTGTCACTCGCGCGAGTCAGGAGGTGAGGCTGAGGAGCCTAACGCCGAGAGAGGCCCGGAAAGAAAAGACAAGAAATTGGGCCTTCTCGGCGGTGGCTCCTCGCCTCTGGAATAACCTTCCCCCTGACATTCGCGCGGCTCCCTCGCTGGGTATTTTAAAAAATCAATTAAAACACTGATGTTTCGGTGGGCCTTCCCCTCAGCCAACTCCTAATCTTCCCTCTTTTTCCCCTTTCGTAGTGTTCATCCCATCTTGTCTAAAGTTTTTCCCCTATTTAAAATTGTTTTAATATATTGTATTGTGCTTGCTGTAAGCCGCCTAGAGTGGACTCAATGAGACTAGATAGGCGGGATATAAATAAAATTTTTAAAAAAATTAGGATTTTTGTGTTGACAAAATAAGGCTTACTAAGTTTTTAGACAGGAGACCTCCAGGGAATTCCAATGGTCCTCAAGTAGGGCTGGGAAAGATAAAGTCTCTGAGATCCTTGAAAAGCCACTGCTGCCAGTCAGTGTTGATTACACAGAGCTTCATGAACTGTCACAGAAGAAGGTAGCTTCCTATGTTCACCTTGTACACCAAAAGCTTTATTTGGAGGTAGCCAAAAGTACAGTCTAGGTTACATCATCCTTCTACTGTAAAGATGTTAGGTCTTTTTTTAGAGACACATTGTTCAAAAGCCTGTTTTGTTGTTGTTCTTTTTTCTCCATTCAGGAAGCTGTGAAAGCTTACTGAAAGTATTTATCTGGTCATGGGACTGGCATACAATCAGGTAACTTCATTAATTAGCTTGAACTAGCTGCCAGAATATCTGTGCTCAAGCTGCTACATGTGGGCAGAACCTATAGCTTCTTAGCCCTTGTGTAAAAGCTTACTCCGAGTTCACTGCCTTGGTATCATGTTTTTATTTTATGTTATGGTTTATTTATTGGGTGTACATGTAACAATATACTGTAAATCAAACTGTGTGCATAGCAATGCTATATATCCTTTGGCCATAAATCCTTGGTTTGCTAATATTTTGTGCTTAGATTTTGGCAACCTAGTTTAGTTTTAAGGCTAAGGACACTGAATTCTGTACAGTGATTAGTTTTTCATATTTAAATATCCAGCATCACATTTAATCGGGCCTGAAGGATGCTGTTGGAACAGGAGTAACTTTAGGAAAAGTCTTGTCATTTAGTTGCCTGTTGGTCACTTTCTAAAATTCTGTCACTGTTCAGCGAGTGAGAGGCAGGTAGGCCTGGCATTGATTGTAATGGTTCCCACTAGCTTGCACACAATAAAATCAATGGGATGCATGCAACAAAATTCACAAAATCTGCTTCTCTCCTCTAAAGGGTATCTCCAGGATCAGAGGAAAGTTTTAGCTGCATCCAATCTTGTCCCGAATTGCCTGCAATTATTTCTGCCCTCAATCTCCACGTAATGAAAGCTACCATTCATTCCTGTAGTTTTTTTAAAAAAACAGGCACACTACAAGTGGAACATGCAAAAAAAAAGTTACAGAGTAGAGTAATGCCACTTGGAATTCCAATCAAGTAGCCATGCTGCTGGAGGTGCTGGGAGTTATAGCAGAAAATAGTAACTTTTCCAAGCCTTGTATAAGAGGCCTCTGTGTCCCAGAAAGCCCCCCACATCCAAACCCTGATAAAACTGCCTGATTAATTACAACAATCAAGTACCTTCACAGCAGGGCCTGGAGACCCAAACAAACCACAGCCAGATCAATTTATTTCTCAGCTTTTAAAAAGTGAAATGACCAAAATTCTTTTATTACATCTTGCCTACACTTTGCAGGAATTACAGTAAATAATAGCATCATGAGTATTTCCAGAAGGCTTGCCTAAATCAAAACCTGAGCTCAGGGTTTTTGTAGCAGGATTGACCTGTTTGTTTAATGAGAGGGCAGAGCACAGTAGAACAACACATACTTTACCTGCAGTCCAGTCTCCAGTATCTTCTGTTGTAAACCCACTTGATTCCAGTGGTGCTGTTTTTGGCCATGTAAGGATCCACACTTGGAGAAAGTGTTTGCTAGAAGAAAGGGCACAGGATAACATTTTTACCAGGGTAGGGAAGCTTTTGCCCCATGAAATCAGTGATTGTCAATCTTGGATCCCCAAACTTTCTTAGACTGCAGTTCCCAGAAACCTGCACTACTAGCTGTGCTGGCAAAGGCTTCTGGGAGTTGTAGTCCAAGAATGACTGGAGACACTGCTGTAGAGGTTGTTGGACTCCAAATTCCAACATTCTTCGCCATAGGCTGTGATGGCTGGAGTTTATGAGAGTTACAATCCCACAATATCTGGAGGGCCACATATACAGTACCCCTTTCAGTTTACACCCTCCTTCCTGCATTTCTACTAAGGAGCTCTAAGATGCATCCATGTCTCCTTCCCTTTCACTTCACAGCAATCCTGTAAGGTAGGATAAGCATACAGTTGGCAACTGGCCTAAGATAACTTATGTGAGTTACATAAGTGAGCAAACCTGTGAATCCCAGTAGTGGCTCAGCACTTTCCACTTGAGAATAAAATCGGCGTTACATGACCATAAGGGTTCCATACGTACAGTATAAATGTTACTGTGGTCACTAATGAAAATGAGAACTTCCTGAAACATTCCATGAAATAGGGATGTTGGCAAGTCTATGAGTCCCAAATCTGGGTCCTTATTAAAAATAAGATTTCCCCCCAGAAAAAAAGGGAGGGTGGGGGTGAGTTCTGTGTGGGTGTATGTGGGGAGGTCTGAGGCTTGTGAACCACCCACTTTTGGTCCCATCTGCCCTCCATGACTCACCTTCCCCCCCCTGAAAATCCTCCCTCCCAGTGGCTACCTCCTCAGTTGTTTGCCTGCCCTTCCTTTCTGGGTTTAAGGTGTCTTTCATTAAAAAAATAGGGGCTCAAGAACACAACTCAGAAAAATGGGTCTGACTCACAAGTTGAGTCTAAGTCATTGAGAAAAAAAACTGAGTTGAGTTCCTGGTGCAGCTTAAATCCGACTCACATTCCCATTCCTGCTTACTTCCTGGTTTCCACCATTAATTTTGTCAATCTTTCCTGTCCATGCACATTTGGGGGCAGTAAGTCCCACTGAATGCATTGGGACTTACCTCTGAATAAATATACACAGTATTCCACTGTTGTCATGACGCCAGGATTTATGCATTTTTCTGCTTTTTAGGTGACTATCTGCCTACTTGCAGTGGCCTCAAGACAGCATACATACAGCAAGAGGGCAGTAAAAACAACGACAGGAATAATAAAGAACATGAATGCAAAACATCGCTAATTAAAATAGCAAAAAACCACAAAATAAAAGTACAGTAAAAGGATATTCAACTTTCTTAATAGCAGTTGAAGTTAGGGAGGGTGGACTGGCTAAGAAGGCAATGTGTCTAGGGTGGGGGCAACATATCAGAATCTGGAGGAGGCCCTTTCTTCATTAACCAACCACTGAAATTCAACAGATGGCTGTATCACATTGTTAAGTAAATTTTTTTAAAAATTACTTTTCTTCCATGGCTCCATTTTAGGGACATCCTGGGATTTATAGTTTGGTGAAGAATATAAATGTCTCTCCCGTAGTACAGGAGTTCCCTACTAGGAACTTCTGGGAACTTTTCCTTAGGATGAAGGCAGGGGGAATAGGGGCCAAATGGAACTGCGATCACCCTACAGGGTAGACACTCTCTCACAACATGGAGACCCAGAGAGGTGTCCCAATTGGTGGGCATTTCAGATGGAGGCTGGCCTCCTGATTTATATGATGGTTTTTAAACTACCCTCTTAAACCTCACCTTTAAACAAAGTCTCACTGTGTTGACTGTGACTAGAAAACAGTAGGGGGAGAAAAGAAAGCGAGGCAGGTCCATGATTTTTTCTGTACTCAGTTTCCTCAACAACAACAACAAAAGGGGGGGCGGTCGGTGGGAGGGAGACAGGGAAGAGCAAAACAGAGGCAGACTGTAGCCACTGCACGCTACCACCTCAGTCCTGCCAGCTCTTCAAACCTGCTCAGCCTTTTCTCTACGGGGGTTGGGAGAATTAATTTTTAAAAAAACGAGTGCTGACAAGCTCCAGGTCTCTTTTCCTCCTGTTCCTGCTCCCCACGCTCCTGCCGTGCTGGGCTGTGTGTGAGAAGACGACCAAAATAAAAATTTAAAAAGTCTCCTCCGCTTTGGAGTGAACCTTGGTGCGGGTTGGAAAAAGAAAAGTCAGTGGCCTTCTCGTGCGTGCGTGCGCGTGTACACGCTCGTGTGCCTTGCCTCTGAGGTGGGTTTTCAAGAGCACGACTGCCCGTGGGTGGGTGGAAAAAGCACCGTTGGCGCTCTGCGTCTCTGTGTGAGGCAAAAAGTGTGTGTGTGTGCGCGCGCGTGCGTGTGTAAGAGAGGGGGATTCAAGGAGACCTTTGAAAATCGCCTCCTGAGGTTCTCCCTTATTTCTTCACTTAATAGTGTTCAGTAACATTTAAGAGAATTCTCCCTTCTGCTTCCCCCCCCCCCCAAACCGTCCCTTTTCTCAGGAAATGGGCAGGGAAAGTTCCCTTCATGGCTTTGAGGGGGCAAGGTTTTGCCCCCTCCCCCCAACACCACCACCACACTCCCGCTCCGCCTGCCAATCTTTAGTCTCGCTCTCTCAACTCTCTACGCCATGCGACGAAAACTGGATGGGTTTAAATAAATAAATAAATAAATGAGGCACGCACGCACACACAACTAAAAACTCCAGCCATTTCAGAGGACTTTTCCTACGGCCACCCCCACCCCAACGCCCCGCTTCGTCTTCCTCCCGCTTTTTTTTTTCTCCATAGCTTCACTTGGGAGGAAAAAAAACACGAGGTGTTGGTGTTGGTGGGTTGGTCGGCTTGGCCATGGGAAAGCGGAGGGTGAGGAGAAGGGGGAGCCCCCAACTCCGGAGGAACCTCTTTCCCCTCCGCAACGCGAGTGGGACCGGGAGCCCTCCCCCTCCCCCCAGGAGCCTCTCGGCCGTATTTGTTTTAGTTTTTTTTTTCTTTGTATGGAGCTCCCATTCAAACTGTTCGGCGCGTCCCCGGTAACCTTCCGCCAAGGAGGAAGGAGGAGGAAGAGGAGCGTGGTGGTGGTGGTGGTGAAAGAAAGTAGTCCCAATGCTACTCCTCACCCTGCTCTCTGATGGGGAAGTGAGTTTCTATGTGTGAATGAGACAGAAGGAATAACATTTATTTGCAACTCTCCTCCCTTCAGCAAGACCGTTCGCTTCCCCCCCTTCTCCTCAACTCTTCCCCCCCTCCCCTCTGGCCCCATGCCCGGGGGGGGGTCCCTTTGTCCCCTCTGGATTGCTGGAGTCCCTTCTCCAAGGCAGTTGCTGGACTCCCCCCTCTATGGGGTTTCTTTCTCTCTCCACCCCCCGCCCCCCCGCGGCTCCACGCTTTCCCCGTCACTCTTTTCCCTTTCCCTCTATAAAGATACAATTGTAGCCCTTGGAACAAGCTGTATCATTGGGCGTAGAGATTGCAAAGCCCCAACCACGTAGAGCAGGGTGATCCGCCTCTCCACCTAACATTTGCAAACGGAAGCGCCGGGCCGGCTTTGACGGACGCCTGGAGAAGGCCAATGGGGAAAGGGGGAAAAGCTTCCCAAAATGTGGGGGCGACCAATCAGGCGCGCGGGAGGGCCGGCTCATGGGGGAGCCTAGCAATTCGGGTTGACAGTGCCTAGTCCCAGTGCAGGGAAGTAGACGGGAAAGAGATGAGCGTCAAAGTTCGAACCTAGCCTTTCAATGCAGCCAGTTTTGAAAAAATAAATATATATATATATATTAAAAGAGGAGAGAAGACACCAAGAATCTGAAAATCTGCAGCAACGCAAGGAGCCTACAGTTTGCTGAGAACTTCCCAGGCGTTGCTTCCTCTTTCCCCCCTTTTTTGGGGGGGGGGGAGAAGAATAGGAAAGCTTGTATTTTTTTTATTTTTATTTTAATATCCCACCCTTCCTCAATTTTTGATTCTGGTCTCTTTTCCTTTTTTTCCCTTCCTTTTTTTTTTAANCCCCCCCCCCCCCCCAATGCCAGCCATGATCGAAAAGGGCGCAGAGGTGTCGGGAAAAAGAAGGGGCAGGAACAATAATGCAAGCGGCGCAAGTAGCGCGTCCAACAGCGCCTCTGCTTCCGCCGGCGCTGCCAACCACAGTAACAATGGGAATAATAAAAGTTTGGCAGCGGCAGCAGCGCCCAATGGGAATAGCAGCAGCCACCACTCTTGGGAAGAAGGCAGCTCCGGATCTTCCAGCGATGAAGAGCATGGTGAGTCTCCTGGGAGAGAGGGATTGTGTGTGTCTGTAGCTGAAAGGGGGGGGGGGAAAGAGGCCAACAACATGAAACTCTTTTATCAAAGCTTGCAGACTTTTGGACAAAACCGTACATCAGTTTGTTTTTGTTTGTTTTTTTTTAAAAAAAACTAACAATTAAACAGTTATGTTTTCTTCTTCCTTTCCCCCTCTTCAAATCAGGAGGTGGAGGCATGCGAGTGGGACCCCAATATCAAGCAGTCGTTCCAGACTTTGATCCTGGTGAGTCTTCACCCCCCACCCTGCTTTGGAAAGCAGAAATCTCACCTTTACACGACTCAGGCATGCATCACTTCCTCTTGATAAGGGGGGGTTTAGCCTTGAATGAACACCATTATGGGATGTCACTTTTCCCTCTTCCCCCCCCTCCTTCCCAATCTTTTCCCCCTTGGGGAAAGCTTGGCCTCAACTTTAATCGATTCCTTTCCCCCTCCCCCCAAACCCCTCATTTTTTTAAAGCTGGGAAGTCAACCCCCGACCGAGTTGAAGAGGGTTTCCTCCCCAAGTTCAGAGTGCCAGCCCCTTGCCTCCGCGGTTCCCTTGCAGGCCTTCCTCGGGAAGTGCATCCCCAACGAGTTCAATGGGGCTTATCCCTAAGCGAAGAAGTATGTCTTGCAAAGGGGTCGGAGAGCCTTCGCGGGCGAACGGGTTGCGGCTTCTCAGGAGTGTGTGTGATTAGGGCGGGAGGGCCGTTTCTTCCTTTTGTTACACTTGTTGTAAGCGGCCCCCCATCCACCCACCTTTAGTGCGTGTGGATTTTAAAGAAGCGGGAAGGTAACCTCTTTCCTCCCCCCCCCGGCCTATGTGCGTTTGCGTCCGCCCTGGCGTTTGAGTAAAGAATAGCAGCGAGGGTGGCGGCGAAGTGTATGTGGGGGGGGGGAAGAGGAGGAGAGGGAAGCGTGTTTGGGAAACGTGCCACTACGCTTGGGGATAGGTGGGTTGGGTTGTGGGGGGGCTCTTGGAAGAGTTCCCCTGAGGGGTTGGTTACTCCCCTTCTGTGAAACCCCCGTCACGAATTATTTCCCTCCCTTTTTTTTTCTTCTGGGGTGGGGTGAGCTCAGCCCTTCAGACCGAGCATTCATCTTCTCTCGTTTGCCCCCCCCTCCGCCCAATCCCCGTTTTTCCTGGCTTTCAGGTGTGGCTACTATCTTCATATTCACATGGGCGCGGGGGGGGCGAGAGAGAGAGAGAGGGGAGCTGGCCCTTTATGAAAATCGGTGCCAGTCTACTCCCTTCGACTCCACCCCCTCCAGCGCCCCCACCAACACAATGCTTTGAGATGTGCAATTGACCTAAATCCAATTACTACTTTTTAAAAATACAGTAATAATAATAAATAAGTGAGGTTATCCGACAGGTACAGTACTTGGAGAGAGCTGCTACTTTCCCTTCTCTTAAGGATGAGATTTAGGGCCAGCAAAGGACAAAAAGAAAAAGAGGGTGGGTAGTGGGGGGGGGGAAGAGAGCGAGCCAGTGGATAAAACGAAGACAAGTCTTTCCAGGGGGCGCTTTTGTCGACTGGGTGAGAAGCAGAGGGGGGGGGGAAAATACACCAACCCAGATTTATTGAGAGAGTGGGGAATCTTCAAGGGAAGGGGTCTCTGTTCTCTTTCTAGGTGGTGTTCCTGAGGGCTGCTTGGAGGGAAAAAATAAAATAGCTTCAGACTTGTCTTCCTTTGTTTCGGGTGGGCAGATCTGTTGAAAGGACCTGCCTTCTCTCCCCCCCCCCTCCACTCTTTTGCTAGGGTTGAGAAAGAGAAGCCATCCTATTCTTAGCATTCCACGTGTTTTCAGTTTTGTGTAGGCTTGATGTTAAAATGTAGAATAGTAGAGGAAGTAACTGGCCAAAGGAATGAATGCAAGAGTTTAAGGCAGATAAAATTTTTTTAAATGTGTCCTGGTTCTCTGTAGTATTGTTTTTTTTAAAAAAGCAGGCATTTCTTTACTTTTGGAATGCAAATATTTTAATGGTTCGTTTGTAAATGGAGGGTAACACAATCTGCCTTTGAAACAAAGCATAACAATAGGGTTTTGCTCTCAACACTAAAGCTGACTTTGCATGATAGTGATCTAAACTGAATCTCTTGCTTCTCAACTCTACTTAAGACCCCCCCCCCAGTATGCTTTAGAAAATGTAGTTTCTTTCTGTCTGCTGTCTGCTTTTTTTCCAGTACAATCCTGTAAGACCCATGATACTGTAATTGATTTTTTGAGATTGCTGACTATATGGCTTAATAGGTAGAGGTGGTGTAATAGAATGGGTAAAGCTATGAATAAAGAAGTCCCTGTTTTGTATGCAAATTCTAAAATCCGCACAGGTTGATTGGTCTTGGTTGACCTTTAGTCTCACTTCCTGCAGGAAACTAAGAGATAATCACATATTTATTCCAGTCTTTGCTTGAATAAATCCAGTGATAAAGAGTGCCCTCCACCCATTATTGGTTTCATTGTCAAGCAGTTTCTACTAAAGTTCACCCAAAATCTGTCCTTCTGTAACTTAAGCCCATTAGAGCAATTCCTGCCTCATGGGACAGCGGAGAAAAGATCTTTGCTCTCTCCTGTGTGACACCCTTTCATATGTTTGAAGAGTGTTATCACTCAAAGTCTGACATCCAGCACTGGACATAGCACTTCAGATTTGGCTGAACGAACACAAAATAAAGTAGAACTACTACCATTCTTTGGCAAATGTTTTTTACTGGTTCGTGTTCCGTATGTAATCAAGCCGGAATTCTTGAACATGCTTTTCATGTTATACTACTGCCAAGTCAAGTAGTTTCATCTTTGTCTGTGTGTGTCTGTGCGTGCCTATGTGCTAAACTTTACTTTTTTCATTTGGTTTGGTGAGCTACACTTCATTTTCTTAGTCTGAGTCCCCGTTTTTTTATTCTGTTAAATTCTTCCACTTGCCTTCTGATAGTTGTTTCTGCCAGTTTTATGTGGTCTGCAGATGTGATAAGGGCTCCTCCCATCCTTTAGTCTTTGTCATTGATAAATTTAAATCTTACCCTAGCCAAGACTTCTGACCTTATCTGTATATTTTTCTTCAGCAGCAGATCCTACAGACTTCAGTGGAATTCACTCCCTAGTTAGTTAATGCTATTTCCCTTTAAAACAAAACAAAACCATCTACATTTTTTTTGTTTAAGTATTATGGGCACCTCTAGTATGGGGGCTCTTTTAATTACATCAATTGTTTCTCAATTGTTTAAGAAGAAAACACCCAGAAAAGAATCAAACTATCCCTTACTCTTTGGGAAGCGTGAGTTCTTTGTACAGTATGAACCCCCTAGAAGACCCCTGATAGTTGTATGTTTCTCAAGATTGTTTAGAGCTTGTATACTAGTATAATGGCTAGAACTGTGAGCCAGGATTTCCATGTATAGTTTAGAACTAGAAGGATTTTACTTTCTGGTTAGGTTAACACTGTCTTCTCTCAGTTTAACTTAAGGGTGTATGTGTAGGCTCAGGCAGAATGTAGACTTGGACAGGAAATGAGTCTTTCGGCTTCCAACACCACTTTCTAATGTGATGAATTTATAATAACACTGACCTGTCTTGCTGACATTGTAAGAATCACTGAGAATACATGTGATACACATTGAGCGCTCTAAATAGCTATATAAATGGTAACTGTGCTATGGAACATGGAGCAAAATGAAACCTTAATAATTTGTTTTTAATAGAGCAGAATATTTGAGTTCATTCTCTCCCTTTGTTCTCTTCCCTACCTGGACTATCTTGTATCTAGTCTGTTATAGCTGCTCCACTGGCTGCGAATCTGTTTCCGGACACAATTTAAAGTGCTGGTTTTAACCTACAAAGCCCTAAACGGCTTGGGCCCAAACTAGCTAAAAGACCACATTGATTGCCTCTCTCTTTATGAGTCCGCTCAGGCTTTAAGATCATCAGGGGAGGCCTTTCTCCTGATCCCATCACTTTCACAGGAGTGTTTTGTGGGGACATAGGAGAGGGCCTTTTCTGTTGCATCTCCCAGACTCTGGAACTCTCTCCCACGGGAAGCTAGACCAGGCCCCCTCTTTGCTGTCCTTCCACAGGCAGGCAAAGACCTTTCTCTTCAGGCAGGCTTTCCCTTATTGACTGGTGGTCTGAGAAGGACTGTTAAGTGGACTATCGTGCTTTGTTAAAACTTGTTTTAAATGTGTTTTAGTGTTGATTTTACTTTTAATAGAATAATTCTTTCTTAATCTTTTAAATATTTGTACACTTACTGTTTTAGCTTTTAAATATTGTCTTTTTAATTATGTAAGCTGCCTTGGGTCCTTTTTAAGGAGAAAGGCAAGAAAGAAATATTGTAAATAAATAAATAATAAATTAATTTAAAATCTTTGTTAGGGAGCTCAAGGTAGCCCACACACAATACATCCTGTTCCATTTATATTTTTACATCAACTTTGTGAGATGGGTTTGGTTGGAAGATAATTACTCTTAGACAGAATCCGTGGCTCAGCAAAGATTTGAATCTGGGTTTTCCCAATCTGACATTTCGCCAAACTTCTTTCATACTAATCTAATCCTTTTTTTAAATAATTGGGAAATCATGTGAATCCCTCATTAATTGTGTGAGATACATACCTCTCTTGGTGGTAGTGGGGGAATGTTTGTGAGAAATAATGCTGGATATAAGAGGTGCGCCGGTTTGTGTTTTTGGACTACAATTCCCAGAATTCCTCAGGTAGCATAGCCAGTGTGAGTCATAGTCGAAAAACAGATATCTGGATCCTGACTCCGGGTATGCATGTGGCAAAACTAGTTATGTGCGTTGATTACATATAGTTGGCAATGTAGTTATTAAATGTTAATGTATTAATGACTGTGCTGTTTGGAGATGGTGAGAAATGTAGTCCATAAGAATTGGAGGGTGCCAGACAGGAGAAGTTTTTAATAAATGGCTGTTTGGGTTTCTTGTCACTTAAATCAGTGGTGTTGATGCAGACCTCAGCTCTTCTCAGGCTTGTGCCTGTGCATGTATAAAGCTAGATGGATGGTGGGGGGGGATGTGGGGAATCATAAAAGCATTATTCATTTTTCCTGAGTGTTCCTCTGCAGCAGAAAGACCTTTGCATGTTGAGCCTGAAGGTCTACAACAGGCTTTTGTGACTGCATTTGGCTGAATGCTGTTACAGAGCTCTTGTGGTTGAGAGACAGGGATGTACCTCCTAGTTATTAAGATCTACAAACGTTTGATCTCTTGAACCATG